GTTTAGGGGGGCATTAGGGGAGACAGGGATAGGAGGAGCCTGATTGCTTCCGGAGTCACTTCGTTGAACTTTGAGTTTTTGCATATAGACAGAAGTTCTTTTAAGTGTTGCTGGGATCTTCTGTTGTGTCCTAGAAAAGAGTCCTTGTTCTGCAACAAGTGTAGCATGTTATTTGTGATCTGGAACGATTCCACTTGTATTGCGGGCACTAATAGATGGCAAGTGCCAAATTGTCAGCTGTGGGTTGTGCCCAGTCATATAGTGCACCCTCAGGCACAGGAGGTGCCAATGTGCTCATTCCTGGACGTTTTCCGTTGGGGTGTTTATGTCGCCATGTCATTTCGAGTTCGTGTGTTTGTTGGATTGTTGAAGTCTTTTGTTTGCACGATTCAATGCCCGGAATGTCTTCTCGGGGTCTGAGAGTCCTTCAAGTAGTTCTCCAGTCCTCGTAGAATTTCTAGGCATGCACCTGTGTACCCAGATCAACAACCATCAAATTTTCAATGAAAAAGTTGGTAGAGAGAAAACTGACTACAATAAGAATCTTTGTATTTCTGTCAATGGCAATTGATAATTCCGTTAACTCCCCGGCAACGGCGCCAAAATTTGATCACGTCCAACTATGCCTTATAAAAAGGACTCTGCGGACGTTGCAAATATAACCCGAGTATTACGCCCAGGGTCGAATCCACAGAGAGTTAACCTATCAACCACTATCTTCAGACCCACCAAGTCTTCAGAACCAGCTTCTCAAATATTCAAATCTCAGTTGAATGTTCTTTAACAACTAGCTTGCAAGTAACTAAATAGCTGTAAACTAAACTAATAAGGTTGTAAACAATTATGAGAAAAAGCTAAGGCAATGATTTCCCTTATTGATGGAATCCCTTCTGTTTATGCTCATACAAATTTACCAACACATCTTTATCAATCATGAACGCTAATCTTACCATAAATCTCTCCCGAGTAATCACAGTAATTTACTATTGCACTCTCCCGAGATACACTTGCTTACTTTATTTAGCACGATTCACTTTAGATTACACCCAAGGCTTCGTTATCCCTAATCCCGCCTTTAAACCCGCAATTATAGATTCCTCTAATAATCTAGGAGTGATGTTGTTCAACAATACCCTAAATATGCACTCTTTTCCAAGTTATGCACACTAAATAGGCACAGCTAATTGAGGATCCTGTCAATTAACTACAACGAACACGAAGTTGAACAAATAAAGATTAAACTAGCAATTTGTATTCGCATAAACAAGAAGTTCATCACCCAATAGGGTCCATCAAAGCCTTAGACAAGGAATTTAGCTACTCATGGCTATGGGAAAATAAACTAAGATTGAATTCATCATAAAATCAAAAGAAAAGAAGAAAGATGTTTAGAGTATTTTCTCACAATGGTTTTCCTTGCTAAGAAACCTAAAAAATCAATACCTGCTTCTCTTGGGCGAAGTCTAGTGTTTTAAATAGGTTTTAGGTCTAAAAATCCCGTAATTGACACTTTGGTCCCCGAAGTTTCTGCGCCTGCCGCGGTTTTGCCGCGGTCGCGGTAGAACCGCGGCCAAACACCCTCGCGGATTCTCAATCTTCTGCAGCTGCTTCCCACCGTGGTTCTGCCGCGGTCGCGGTGGAACCGCAGTGGATCCAGTACTCTGAATTCCTCGGCCTATTTTGCATGGGTCACTTGGGAAATTTCACAGTTGGCCTCTTTTTCATCACTTTTAACTCCAAAACTGCTCCTTAGCCTTCCTTATACATATATCACCTACAAATCATGAAAAGCACTAATAAGAGCATTTTGTCATCACTTTTAGCATTAAAACTACACAAGAAGGTGATTATTTAAGGTGTGATTATAGTCAAATTCACCTATTATCAATATATAAAAGTATACTGTTATATTATACATTTTATTGCAGCATATTGCAACAATATACTACAATAGTGTATAATTTATCGTAATAATACACAATATATGACAACATTATACCGTAATAGTATACAATATACTGTTATAACTGGATCCTTTTTTCAGCTTTTTGAAATATCCATGTCCTTTTTCAAAATTTAGACGAAACTCTCATTTGTTTTTCAAATACTTTTCTAAATGAACTATTTAATGGAATTTCATGGAGGTATTATTCATTGCATAAGCTCTCATTGAGTTAATTAGATTATGTCACTACTAATATTATTTCAGTTTAATAATTGAATTTAAAAAAAAAAATTAAACTCATTGCGTACAATTGTATACCATGTTGGTATAACTATATATTATACTTATCATATGTTAGTTGAAACATTTTTGGCTGTATTAGCTGCATTTAATAGGTACACTATTTGTTTTTCTTTTAATAATAGTAATATAGTACAATATCTTGAAATACTTTATTTTATTAATATGTGGTACACCATTTTTTTTTATTTTTCTCTTTATGCATGTGTGTTATGTAATAGTAGTATAGTCACAAAATTGCCGGAAATTAACCAGTAAAGTTGTATACCATGTTGGTATAGTTATATACCATATTTGTATCATATGGTAGTTTGAACATTTTTTGGTTGTTTTAGCTACATTTTTAAGTGATTACTATTCTGAAATTATTTATATGAACATGATTTGCAGTGCTGGAATTTTTTTATGCCGATGGACATAGATTATGTTTGTTATGTAATAGTTTTTATAGTTATAGCCAATTGTTGGAACACACAACTATATACCTTGTTAGTATACAGTTGCTTTGCAAATATTTAGCTTGCAATGCGAGTATGTAATTTTCTCATACTTTTATTGCATCCTTTAAAGTTTTGGTACAGTAGTATAGTCGCAGATAGTTGTAGCAATATTCTAGAGCAATCATATACTCTGTTGGTATACATGTATACCATATTGATATCATATGGTACTAGAAGTCTTTTTTTGCTACTTATTCTTTTATTGTATTTTTCAATATTTTATTATCATTTCTCTTCTAACTAGTATATATGGAGATTTGGTGGCCGTAGATTATGTTTTCTTGCTCCATAACTGGTTGTGTTACTGCTAATGGTAGAGTGTGTACTGATATTTATAGGAAAGGAGATGATCAAGGTTTGCATGGCAATCACTTGTTGATTCTTAGAATCTGATTATATAATTTATGGTGCTCAGCAGCAGTCCGTGTGATATCCAGTGAATTAGATCAAGTGACAACTGATATTATTTCAGTTTAATAATTGAATTTAAAAAATGAGAAAAAAGACAAAAGGTATGTTATATACTAGTTCTATTAAAAATAAAAAATAAAAAGGTGAACAAATATTTACTATATCAGTTATTTTTTCTTATTGTTTTAAGAAAAAAGAATAAAAAAAAATGGTGAAAATAATAAATGAAATTAGATTATGAAGAGAAAAAAGTATAAAAAAAAGAAGTTAAATGAAATTAGAAAAGGAAAAAATAAAATAAGAAGAAAACGAGATAAAAGAAAAGGAGAAAAGAAAGAAAAAAAAAGGAAAAAATGAAAAGAAGCATAGAGATAAAAAAGAATTGAAAAAAAATAAGAAACTTCCCGACAAAAACTAGTGTGGGTAGGAAATGCAATCAGTTTGATGGGTAGAAAAATAAATGGGTAGGCAAGGGTAAATAGTTTTATTTTTGTGGGTAACTGTGTCATTCTCCCAATCCCATACTTGAATTGCTTTCCAAAGCAGGCCTAGCAGGTTATATCGCGGGTCGAATATGGGTTGCAGCCCACGCACTATAACCCTGTGCTGTTATTCTCTCTTGTATCTCCCTACTACTCGACTCTTTCTAGTTCTTTTGGTGCTTCTCCGCTGATTCCAGAGCCATTCCTCGTAAGTACTCTGTTTCCACTTATGTCTTTGTACAATTAGAGTTATATGATAAATGAAGTATTTTTGTTCTTGAATACACTATGTAAAACAAATTGAATTCAATAGCAACAACCGGAGTCAAACCAATCAAGTGGGCAACTCCGAATTCAGCGCCACTCACTTAGGAATACGGATACTTTTTGGTTTGATATTTTGCTCACAAAACATAATTAATGTAATATCGTCAGCAAGGACGTCTCAATAAAATTTGTGGCCTAAAGCCAAATTTCAATAAGGCACCTTTTTTTTTTCTTTTTTGTTTTGTTTATACTGTAGTTATCTTACAAAATGTAATACTAATATTTACTTTGGTTTTTCCTTTCTTTTTGTCTGTAATATAGTTATCTCACAAAATATAATACGTAGTACTAATATTTACATTGGTAAGAAAACTCAAGTTATTAAGATGTTGGCCACGTATTTACAATGTGTTACTATGGATCTTATTGTAAAAAATATCAGTTACCAATATGAAGATTTGAGTATCTTAATTCAAAGTTCTAAAATATTTCTATTGTTAAAAAATAGACAGTCTTTTCTACTTTTATAAGGAGTTTGTATAAATTTCAATATTGTCTAAGCAAAAATAAGATAGAAAATTCACAATTAAAATATTTTTGGGGCCCCAAATTTTAGAGGGCCTAAAGCAATTGCTTTACTGGCCTACCCGTTGAGCCACCCATGATCGTCAGTCAAGTAGGTTCTTTTCTCATATACTATGTGCAATGCTAATGACAATGTTCGGAATCTAGATTTGCAACTTCATTATAGAATACCAAGTAGAATCACATTGTTCTAGCTGGTAATTTGATCCATTCTATCCTGACATTGCTTCCTAATGTTTATAATATGACTTCACAATTGGTTCTTTACTGTCAATGCATACATATGTCACTATAAATATTAGGGCCGTTCAAAACTGAACCGTAATCGATAATTCAACCGTAAAATAATCTTATTGGTTCATTGGTATTGGGATATTGGCTTTAACGGTTGGGAAACTGGTTGAAATTTTGTAATTAATTGGTGTGGGTATCGGTTTGCTCATTTTTTCTCATTGGTTTAGCCGTTAACACATTAAGAATTACATTTCTACCGTCATGTATATAAAAGTATCTTAAAAAACCCTAAAGCACCAATTCGACCTTAGCTTAAATCCTTCGGTCAGCTCCATTTCTCCAAACCTCCAACCTCCAACCTCCAGTCCACTATCCACAGACGCTCTCCAATCTCCATTCCAGTTTCCAGTATGAGATAAGTTTCTTTGTCCACGATTAACCAAGGCGACAAATTGAGAAAAATCTCCTTTTCTTTTGTTCCGTTGAGCTCAACTTCCTGAGAATATATCTCTCTGTATTTTTATTCTAAAACAAGGGAAGATTCGCTATTGATTAAAAAGATAATCAGTGATGCTCAGCCATTAGCCAACCAGGGCACAGGTTCTTAGCTTTTCTTCTCTAGTTAGTTTGGTTTTTTAATCTTGGATACTATAAACCAGAATCTAAAGCTTAATTTAAACCTCCTTATAAAAGAAAGCTAATCAATCTAAAGCTTAATTTAAACCTCCTTATAAAAGAAAGCTAATCAATCTAAAGCTTAATTTAAACCTCCTTATAAAAGAAACTTAATCAATTTAAAGCTTGAATGTGATTTGCTATATCATTCAATCTAAACTAAGATTCCAATTAGTTTCCTCCTTTTCAAATATTTGGTTGATGGAATATATATATCTTGTGTACATTATCTGATAGATAACCGCCGGATAACCGCTAAAGTTTAGGACATTAAAAAATGTATAACTGATAAGCCGAACCGTTGAGCGCAAATATCAATCCGAACCACCCGATAAGCACCCCTAACTATAACGGTATGTAATCCAATAACCACATACATCTTTATTCACGTGTTGTGGGTTCTTTGTTTGGCTGATGTTAAAGTTCTGTATTCTGCTGTCTAGAGATGTTTCTTCATTAATAATAGGTAGATAGTTTCAATAGTTTCTGTATTCTTGTGCTTTAGAATTTCCCAAGCAGGAGTCTTGAATATCTCATACAAAACATATATTTTCTTCGATCATGTAGGCATATGTCATTTGCTGTTCACTGTTGGTGTATTTCTTTCGTTCTTCTTCTGCTTCTTCTAAACAGTATGTTTTTCTTTTAATTCTTCTTCCAAAATAAGTCTTTCATGTTATGTTTTTGTTTTAACAACTAAATTATTTTCCTTTAAAAAACTTTAGAGCATTAAACTGCAAGCAATTTTCATATGTATTACTAGTATGATGATATCTCAACAAACAACTTTCTTCACCTATTAGTCTCTCTTTTCCCTTTCTTTGTATGTTAATTATCTTTACAAGTTTGGCAACTGTTTTCTATCCACAAGTGATAATTCATTAACTTCACCTTTTTTCCTCACTTTGCTGTTGTTTGAAAAAGTAATTTGTAATATCGTTTTCAGTAGAAAAGAAAGAAAATTCATTATTATTGCCCCTAGGCAGGTTTTTGGTAGTAAAAGTATTTTAGTGTGATCATAGTTCTCACCCCAAAGTATTGTGGTACAAATTAAATTTACATAAACAAAAATGGACAGGTTGTCATGGTGACAGAGGACTAGTTAAAGTATTCGAGCCCTAGCAATTAGCAAAGAGAAGATCTAAACCAGGGGAAGGATGTCAAAGACTCTCAAAGTTCTCATTGAGGACCTGCTTCTGTAAGACCATTTCTTTCTCTCTTCATTCTATCCTTTTTGACCTGTGTTCTGTGTGAATAATTTGATTAAGTTCCGCTGTGTCCTTTAAAAACTGTAATAGATTATCAGAGCCAATAAGAGAATCACTCTCCAAGGCATGCTATACTCCTCCAGAGGGTTCCAATACCTCTGTCAAATCCATGCTAGTGTCCCTTCTACCTTATAGCAACTCACTTTCCAACTCAGAACTCTCGGAAACTGAAATACACAGCAAAATAACGGATTTTAGCTTATGTTGTGCTGCATTGGCTTCTACCTCAGAATCCACTCACAATCAGCTCTCTTGGGTTCCCAATTTGCTATCTATAGCTGCGGCCTCTGCCTTCAAAGACCTATCTATAGCTTACGCTAGAAAAGTTGGTGGGAATGAGTTAATGAAAATTGGCGAGCTGGATGGGGATTTGAAGTCTCTGCCAAATGAGAAGAAGTTGGCCATACAGTTAATGCCTCAACTGTTGCCTTTGCTAAAAGACAAGATTAAGGAGAGCACGATAGATAAATCAATTGATGGTGATGAGATATCAGCTGCAAGCGCTAGAGTTCCAGTGGCATACGCCATTGTTGCAGCTTATCAGTTTAGATGGTTCATTTCTCAGGTGTGTCTATCCTAAATTGGTAGTTGAAGACTTATTAATATATTTATTTCTTTGAACTTTTTTCGGTTTGTGGTTAGAATTCTTTTGAGATGAAGCATAATGTTCTAGATTTATTGTTTGTAGGTGGATTATCCTCACCTAGGAAAAGTGTGCTCTTTGGTGATTCCATGTGCCTTAACAGCTCTTGATCACTGGTCATCTGAAGTAAAGGTGGGTTCGTCTTTTTATGATTGCTGTTCTTACAAATTTGTTGCTGCTTTTATCAGATGGGTAATCTACTTGTTGATCTTTGTTTAAAACTAAGCTAATATTCCTATATCACTGTAGAACAGTTAAACCCTCTAGTAACTACTGTAAATGATTGATTCTTGCAGTGGTCTGTTAATACTGTAAAATAATTGGATAATGAGATATTCTATGTGGAAATTTTGCTTTTGTAGAATTCCTATATCACTGTCTTTTCCTTGAAATACATTGTGGACTTGTGGTGAAATGCATTGTGAACTGTTAGAAGGGATGCACTCTTTAAAACGATTGTTAGCCAGCTAGTACTAAGCTTTTATGCGCCTCTGAGATTTGGTTTATGTCTGACCCCTATAACAACTGATGACAACAAAAAGAACATCAATTGAATCAAGTATTCAGTTTCTCTTCCAAAGCTTGTTCTTAGATGCTCTATTAGAGACTTCTGATTGTAATAATGTTGGTAGAACCTCTCTTTGTTTGTCTTGCCTTCTTAGTCTTTTCTTTATTTTGGAGCATGATGTAATCCATCTTCAAGATAAAATGGGATTTCTAATTGTTACAGGCAAGTGGATATGTCTGCCATACATTTGCATCTCAGAACTAATATTACTTTTTTTGTTTTCATTAGGCTGTTGACAAAATTTCGTTCTCTCACTTCAGGGACAGGGCATGGTTAGCTTAATACATCTGGCAAAAAATGTCAATGCTGCTGAGATTGGTTGCTATGAAGATGTAATTCTTGATGCTTGTTGCCAAAATATTGCTTCCGATGATGACATATGGGAGCGTGTGGTTCAAATGTCTGTACTTATGGTGACTTTCACCCAGAAAAGTAATCCTCGAAGCATATGGTAGAGCGCCCTCTATCTGTTATATATTGAATCCTGGTTAGATTTTGCCAACATGTACACATGAATCATGATTAAGAATGGTATTCTACTCATAAATTTGCAGAGGAAATGTTATCAGTGAAATGCTAAAGCATTATCCTTCTTTTACTGTTGATTCACTCAGAAGTATATTCATATTATGTGTTCTTCAATTTGTACTTCCAGTTTAATAAAAGACTTCACCTATCAAAAAAAAACTTGGATGGAGGGACTACGCGAGTCGAAATGGAAAATTGTAAATCCTGATATTTTGTACGTTCTCTAGTACCTTCTTGGTACTGTTCTCGATAATATTACCTTTCCTTATCCAAAAAAACAAAAAAAGTATTTGTACCTTTGTTTACTGATATATTTTACATGTCCTTTGAACATTAGCATTTCCAATATTTTATGCTTCAAGTATGTATTTACCTTTCAAGTATGTTGTGGCACAGGTATGAAAAAATGTTGAATGAGATGTTGAGCCACTTGGAAAGGCAACCAAGAAACAAGGAGCGTCGTATTGCATGGCTACAGCATATTGAGCCACTGTTCAATGGTCTTGGTCTTGTGCTGCTAGCTCATTTCAGGCGTCTTTTTCCCCTTTTCTTCAAGTGGATGCATGCGGATGATGACAGAACTGTTCTACTGGTAAGAGGTGATAAAATTCTTTTAAATCTGTCAGCCGTGCTACCTTTTTGTATCCTGAATAATTTTTCTGAATTCCTTTTCTAGTGGTTTCTGTTTCTGTAGTCTGATTAAGTTTAATTTAGTGGTGTCAACAGACTTCTTGTAAAAATATATAAGAGTTAAGCTTCTTTTGCATTTCAAAACTTTTTTCTACAAGATGTGTTGTGTTAGAGATCATTACTAGCAACAATTTGGTACTTCATTTTTATTTCAGGTTCTAGAACGGATCAAAACAGTTGTAAAGTTGACATGGATAAGGAATTCGCCACACATTGAAAGGTAAATTTACGAATGGACAAGGAAAAGTAGGATTCACCCTGAATACTACTTATGTCTCCTTTGAATATGAGGAATGGAGTACCCCAAAAGTAAATCCAATATACTGTTTCGTACTGAATTCCAGTTTTGCATCTAAATTGATGAATACTTAAAACCATCTTACTGACTATGTATTAACATCCCTAACTTTAATACTAAGGTAGAACCTTCCTATATGTTCTTGTCGCACTTCTTTAAATTGTACTATTGGTGTGATGCAGATTGGTGGATGAGCTTGTTAGTCTATACAAGGAGGCAGCACTGAAAATTGCTCGTGACGAAATCAGAAAACTTGTTCTTCAGACTATAATTTTGATGCATCAGTAAATATCATGCTCCATGCCTTTGTTTTCTCCTACTGCATGTGATATGAGTTATTTTCTTCTGTTGTAGTTTTTCTCTGCTTCATGAGTTCTCCATTTTCTTAATAACTTTTCTCCTCTATGTCAAGATCCAAGGGCTCGCAGTTCAAAGCTGCTTGGGACAAGCACAAGGATGATCCTGACTTGACAGTTTTCCATCATTCCTTTAGTGAACAACAGCTTGCAATGGTAAATCTTTCCCTCTGTACTATCATGAGAAAAGCGAGCATAATCTCGATCAAACACTCAAGATGATTTTTTGCGCTTATGTTAGGTGGCAGCATCAGCTATCTTAGCCAGTTTTGTGCTGCAAAATGAGCCTGTGCTTCTGCTTTTTCATAATAATTTGTCAATGATGCTATGATCTATTAAATCAATATTCAGGTTCTATGTGATGGCTGGTTTTAAATACTCCCTCTATCCCAACTTATGAAAAGTCATTTGATAGTGTAGATGTTGCCTTGATCACGTATTACTTAGTCGTGATAATTAAAATGTTAGTTTGATGAGAAGAGGTGAAACTTAAACAATTTGAACTTTTGAAACTATAAAAGATGTCTTAAATGATTTTATTAGTCAGATGACGTCAAATGTTTTGTAACATTCAAAACAGAAAGCAAGTCATATAAATTGGGGATAGCGCGTAATACTTGTGGCTTCTTGGTACAATGGTGTGCGGAAAGTTTCTGCAGTTAATGATATAAAGATGGGAATTTTTGTATTCTGTCTATTGATGTTGCTTGCAGGGAGCTGTTAATGGTTAGTTGGCTTGCTGGACTTGAATACATACTTGGCCTTTTGAGTTGCTGAGGAGACATTTTGGAGAAGTATACATTTAGTTCTTGCATCAGTTTCGTGCTCTACATAACTTGTTACTACTCCCCCGTTATCTCTTCATTCCGACATAGAGTGGAGGGAAATGGAGAATTGTTTTTCACTTCACAAATGGGTAGAAACAATTGTCTGTTGGGGGTCACAATTGCCATTCTATGCATTTACAGGTCGTTCAATGAAGAGCTTGTTATGCTTTTCAACTAAGTGATTGGCATCCATGTAAATAGTTAGTTGTCTATGGGCGCATATTTTCATGTTTAGTTGTCTATCGGCACATACTTTCAAGTTTTAGTTATGTAGTCACAATTCAGTAATCCATATTGAGATGTAGTTATTGTGATTTTTCATGTACTTTAAGCTTATTTTGCTGTAATGTACAGTAAATATTCTATCTTGTCATGCAATTTCAATTATGGCTATCATGCAGTTCAATTATGGCTACAATGTTCACTTTTTCAGTTATTTCTCAGAATTAAAAATCTTTCAGCTTCCAAACAGAAGTCGGATGTGCATGGACATTGGAAGCAAGAATCAGTAATCACAATTTCAATGTAAACCAATTATCATGAAAGACAAAACTGAAAAGGCATTAAATCATATCAGAAGAAAACCCTTAGTAAACCAACAAAGATCTGAAATGCAAGGAGATGCAACAGCAATCTTGACGTGTACAAGTATCCTTGATATGTATACAACCATCAGAATATAAGCAAGAATCATAGATTTTTTTCAAGGAAAATTATATTTCTTACAGTTCAGTTTCCCTCCTTATGCAATCTATTATTAACATCAAGAAACTAAGCAAGACTTTTTCCACTACTATTCACGAGACCGATGAAGCTAGAAAGAAGCCACAGAAGATGAATCGAGGGAACAAGTACACCAAGCTTTCTCGAGTTCCGATCAGCACTGTCAAAATTGATGTTGTACTTCAAGCTCATGTTCGTGTACATCACTCCCCAGTACTGCCCTGTAATTTCACCTTGAGCACTACTCAAATTGCTCTTCTGGACGTTCGTTTCGCTTTCATCAAACAACTGGTAAATGTAAGCCTCAGAAACTCCTTCCTTTCTGAGTGGAGTTCCAAGTCCAGATTTCAAATGCGAAACCAGCCCCTGTAAATACATCTCCGCGTACAGCTGGCTCTCCTCTGCATTCCTTACACCATTATTCACGTGCTCATAGTTGCTTCCATCGCTTGGCCACCCTGTTTCCGTCACAATTAACGGAACATTCTCGTAGCCGCTAACCGCCATGGCAGCAACCACGGCATCAACCATCATATCAAACAGGTTATGATAACGAACGGCCGTAACAACGTCATCACGAAAGTTGAACGGGCCTTCCTGAAACAGAGCGAAACCGACTGGAATCTCTCCGTGGAGTCTATAAACATTGTACGGATACACATTCACCAGGAGAGACGAGTTAGTTTCCTCCAAAAACTGAAGCACAGGCCTGATGATTAGCGAGCTGACCGGCTCCTGGAACTCGGCGGAGGATGGAGGAAACGCCGTCGTAATCACGTTGATGAAGGAGAAAGTAGTGGAAACTGAGACGGTGCGAATTCCGAGGTCATTCAGTGCGCGGTGCAGGTTCCGCATGGCGGGGACTACGGCGACGGAAGGGTCGGAACCGCCAGAAGAAGGGGAAGTGACGACGTCGGAACCCACGGAGATGAGCGAAATACGAGCACGAGGATGAAACGGAAGCACATTGTTGTAAACCCAGAGAGTAGCGGCGGAACGATTGGAAGCAAAGGAGCCGACGAGGTAATTGGGGACGGTGAGGAGAAGAGAAATGTTGGAGTAGGAAAATGCTCGGATTAAACTAGGGCTGGGATTAAGGAGGCGTACGGCTGGGATTTTGAGTGACTGAAGGGCGGTGACGACGTGCTCCGGCGGTGGAGAGTTGGGGGCGGGGGAGTAGGTGAAGCCGACAGTGGTGGTTGGTACGGCGGCGGAAGGGGAGAGTAAGAGAGAGAGGATGAAGAGAGAGAGAAGGGGAGTTTTGAAGGAGGGAAGCATTTTGAAAACGTGAGGTCTTGGAGTGAAATTTTTGCTTACTTTATTCATTCAGCTAATTGCAGAGAGTGGAGAATTGGAGGGAAAGAGAGAAGGCGCGTAGGGTACGTATGTTAGCAATAGTTGGTTCAATTCGTTGCAGGGTACTCTGGCGGTTACAAGAGAGAGGAGAAAATGATTTGATGGTTGAAGCTGTAGGAAAAGCTTGTGAACCCTCATTTCATTATTCCACGTCAATTTGAAAAATGGCCATTTCAGTCAAAATAATGGACATTAATTAAGCTAGAGAGCCACGCGAAAGTGGTGCACCTGAATGTTTACAAGTTTAACCAAAAAATGGTTTTATAAATAAGAATGATTACATTTTTAAACCGTCTAAAAAGGCACATATTACTGTTCCGGTTGAACTTATTTGACATGAGGGAAAAGTTTAATATAAGGGAACTAAAAGATTGCTTTAGCTTCTAAGTTCAAATCCCAGATGTGATATTATACCTATTATTCTAATTTTTGTAAAACGAGTTATCAACGACAGGAGTTTTCTTATGTCTTATTTTTTGTCGCAATATGAACCCATGCACAACTCACTTATCTCCACTCTTCCATATTCCATGTACTTAAATCATTCGATTCCTTAATTTGTACTATTTGTTTTGTTTTTAAAGTTACACTTTGCTGACAAACTAATTAAACACCTCATTAACAGAAATCAGTGGAGAAACAGGATATCCTAATCGGCATTGGAAGACACAAGACAGACCATCTTTGTAAATAAAAATTTAAAATCAAGACTGCCATAATAGTTCAACTTTTACAGGTGCAAACTAAATTATAGGACTGGAGTGCATTCGATGTTTAGATACAGTAAAAACGTGCGTAGAGCAAACTTCACTTTTTAGCATATATTCCTGAAGAAGGAATGCATGGAAGTATTCTCTAGCTTGAAGAAGCTTAGTGTAGAATTGCATCAATAAAGCCACAATCAGCTTGCTGTTTGATATTCCATTCCTGGATCATCTGAATTCATTGCAAATATAATAAATACAAACAATGAAATATAAATAGATAGAAGAAAAGTTCCAAAAAGCTGTTTCAACAAAAATGGCACTCACTATGAGCAAATCAGCAGTAAAATATACTACAAATCACAAAAAATGAAGAGTAGAATAAATGTAGCTTAAGGCTGGGACCATCAAGATCCAACCAAGACAAATCAACAATTCCCTCCTTATGCAAGCTGCAAGCCAAATTCCATATGATATGTAGTTGAGACATGGTTCTTCTAAGCATCTCCTAAGAAAATTTTCTTCGGCAGAGTTTACTTCAGCACATCTCTGCGTTCAGTATAAGGCCCCGTTTGAAAATAAAAATTCGGGTTTGGAAGCTTGAAAACACGTCTTCCTAAAGATGAGCCGGTTAAAGCATCCATCTGGCTGCTAACTACAGCAACAATCCGAAATCCTTCCTTTTGCAGTATACTTCTTCGAAGGGAAAAATATTCAGGTAGGTCCATTTGCAGTTCATTATCATTTCTGCAATAGCATTACCATCCACGAAAGATCAACAAAATAAGGAGCAACCTTAATTTAGTGAAAATTGCAAAACAGAGGAGCAAAAACTTAATGCCACCAAGATACACACAGGTGCTCAGCTACATTGATCAATGATTAGCCAATTAAGCCTGAAAGAACTTTTTATCTGAATTTCCGTCGAGCAAAATGGGAATGCTATGTTCACTGTCTTTGCACATGGAGAGCCGCGATTGCAAGTGAACATAGTTGCATTCATTAAAATCTGGTCTAAGGAGACCCTTTTTTTTGGTTGACAAACTGGATTAATCTCTACAGAGATGGAAACAAATTTCTAATTAAAATTTAAATCAAATTATTCACATCTGAAGCTCCACTTATTAGTAGAAAATAAGAGAAGATAGAAAGAGAAACTTAAACTGCATCATCATACTTATGACATATTTAACACCTTATTAATTGACTTTTAGCATCCCATTAGACCTAAAGAATGATTATAAAAATACGGTATTACACCCAAAACGTAATATGTGAGGAGGATTTTTCGATTTAAATAAAATCTGCTAAAAGATATTCATCTGTTTTATTAAACTGTTTCATCGTTCATCATGAAAGTTATGAACGAGCAATTCAGGAAGCAACAATACCTCATGATTAACGATGACCATCCACCAAATCCAGCAGAAGTAAGGTATTCTGCTGTGGTATTATGTAGTCTCTCAGTCTTCCTAGACAAGAAAATCAGTTTCCACCCACCATCTTTAAGTATCAGGTATAGTTGTCGAAAAAATAGGTGCTTCAGATATTTCACATCTTCAATGCAATCACTACAAACATGTTCCTGGAATCTGGATAAAAATAAGTATGTTAATTTGTTGTAGACGGGAATACCAATCTGTTGGTCAACTTCAGAGGATTCTGGGGTTACAGTTAATCAGAGGATTCTATTTTCAGATCACAAAGGCGAATGAAAGTAATAAAATGTACAAAGTACTAATTCCAATCTATACTCTGGAGAACAAAAGATCTTCAAAGCAATATAGATTCTTATGCAGAAAACTTTCAGCAGGTTAAAGATACCGAGTCCGACTTGGAGAAAACATCAAAGCAAGTAAACACATTCTTGACAAGAAAATACATAGCTCTTTGAATCTAACTATCCCAAGCCCAGAGGAAATGTAATCTTTTAACACGCTTCTAGGTTAACATCCTACCGATTGTACTGTAGATAATTCCCAGTACAGTGCATCGCTAAGGTCATCTTAAGTTGATTTTTCAGTGTCAGTAAATCAGAAAGCTGGTTTCATAAAGTATTACGCAAAATTTGTAGTTCCAATTTACAAAAGCTAACTCAACTGAGATAATGTAGTGTTAATGATAATGCTGACTACGAGGATGAGCATAAGAAAAGACCGTCATATCAAGAATTAAAAACATTACCGATGTAGCACTTGGTAGGGATAGAAAGAATCTTCTGGCAAGAGGTCATCAATGTCCATTAACACGACGTCACAGCCATCAGGAAGTGGTTTGAGATTACTGAAGTATTGCTCTGCCAATCCAACTGTAATATTTAAGTCTTTCAGGTAGTGACCGTCTTTAATGTAACCAACAGCAAAGCTTTTGCACATTGCTGGGAAAGAAGCTGAAGGCAAAAGATTTAGTTCCGCATGCAGAGCAAAAGTTTTGCAATAGTTATAATCATCGGTGGATTTCCAGGTCTCAACAACACCAGCACTCTGAGTTTGACATGACCGCAACATTACAGCCAATGTAATCAATAGGGTCATTAGCGAAACGCCAACTGTCACAAGTCCAGCAATGAGGACTGTGGCAGCAAAAGAGGTAATATAAAGCCCCGTCTCCACAGTATAACGGCTTCCTACTTCTGCAACAAGTCACGAGTAAATGAGTATAATTTGGAGCTATTACTTCAACTTGTGAGAAAGAGAGGACATGATTTGAGGCTCTCACTCCTACTTGGAAGATAAAGATGACAGTTTTGCGCTCATCAGGCCCTCAGTCGAACTTCAACTCCAACAGATAAAAAACAAGCTGTTGATGAGCCAAAAGTATATGTACTTATTCATATACTTCTAAGTTAAAATTGCTATGTTTTCTGGTGTTTTGTGTGTATATCTCATGTTATTTTATCATATATGTGTAGGTAATGAGAATTTTTTTTTCCATTCAAAGTAATATATATTACCACAGTTCAACAGAGTATTACTCTCAATATATAGGAATTTGGTCAGGATTCCTGAATCAGTATCATATTTCTCAAAGTCTAGTTTCCAGTGATTCATCATTTGGACTCTCCTACGCAAAGTTATTGGCCATTCTACCAAGTTGTGCAGCGCAGCGTGCCACACCAAAACTAGCACGAGGCACTATGACATTATACTTTTCCATCGTGACATGCTATGTCCCGGAGCGCATCAACTGAGCTTTTAAGGGCTATTTTGTCTTTTCAATGTTTTGGGAAATACTTTAGTACCTTGGGTATGAATCTTAATTCGAACTTGAAAAAGTAGGTTTAGGACTGCAATAAGATTGAATAGAGCAAGTTTATAAACCCTAGGAATTAGTCGTAGTTCATAAATTCTATATTCTCGTAGAATGATATTCTACTCACGTTATATGACTTGTGCGACCTCTTATACTGGTGTGTTCATTTGGGAGCCCCCAAATGTGTATGATGAAATTTTAGCATTCACTATAAGATTTGCTAAGACCCTAGAGCAGTATATTTAGAGTCAATTGTAATTAGAAAAAGAAAGCAGGATGCACACCTGAACCTCCTCTGGTTGAAAGACTTTGAGCGGAAAATTCCCTCTCCATCATATGCCCGTATGCAGACATGGCTTTATCGCTTTGACGGGGAAATGTTAGCTCAACTAATGTCCTTCTAAGTGATTTACCAGTTTCCAATTGGAAGATAACATGGCCACCTGAAGAATGATGACACAACAAAATTGAGCAAACCTGGATCTGAAAGTAGGAAGCTTCCGAGCTATAATTTTCAACAGATTCCAACAATTCACAAGAAGCTTCCCTAAAATTTCATGCCCTAGCACTCAAAAAAGACAAACAATTCAATTTACAAAAAATTACTTGCATAATCATAATTTGATAACTATCATTCATTATTAGTAGCAACCCAAAAATAACAACCTACCCCATTTATTTGGATGTTCTCTTCTCTTAGGACATTACTCCAAATCTGAGTTTTACACTTAAAAAAAAAACAATCAGAAAGCAAATGACTCTCAAAGTGTATAAGCTCTTATTTAACAAGAATAACCCTATCAATTAGATAACAATAATCAGAGTTACAATTCAGTCAATTTCGCCGATTAATTAGATTCTTTAAATGGGATTAATACGTCAGATGCTGTTGCCAAAACAGGGTTAAAAAGCAATCCTCCAAAATTTAAGTTATTACCAAAAGAATAATACCAATATCAGCAATTAGATAATTATTTTTCTGTTTCCATTCAATGGGACAGAGGATCAGAAAACAACTTATCTACAAGCTTTATCAAGCTCAAACAAGAATATGAATTGTCTTCAAATAAGATAATAAGAACCCCATTTCAGATTTGGCGAGTTTTGAGCTGGTTTCAAACTGAACCCCCATTAAATAGTAGTATTTATCAACTTAATAGCTGAAGAATTGAATCTAGTTTGTCAATTACCTGAAAGCCACGTTGAATTTTGCAGGAAATTGGAATAGACTGTAAGAGTGTCCCATCTGGATCATCTCGAATGTTTATTAATCACCATTTTTAAAAGCCAGAGAAATGATGCTGAGAAAGAGGGATTGTATAAAGGCATTCAGAAAAAATGCGTTTTGTCCTAAAGATGAAATGATTGTGATATTTTGTTTTTGATTGATTTATATAGGTCCCATTGCAAAACTTTTATCATTTGAAAAAAAAGAAATAACTGAAATGAATAAAGTGAGTGTAATATCTCAAATAATATTTTTTGCAAGATAAATATGGATAAAGATTCTTGAAATATTCCATTCAAGATAAAGATATCATTAAAGAACTCCCTACGTTCTAATCCCAATGTTCTAATTTCGTTTTTTCAAGATAATAATAACAGCGCAGTTGTTAATGTGAATGTTCCACAATAATGGAGAATCAAAACTCTTAATAAAATAAAATTTTTCCTCTGGACGGCTATCCACTATAAGCTCCCCACAGCACAAATGCTCTTCAACAGAAATATAACCAACTCTCCAAACTGTCATCTTTGTAGCACTGAGAGGGAAGATACAATGCATATGCTCTTTAGATGCAAGCACTCCAAAACGATCTGGGCTCAAGCAGGTTTTAGCATGCTACCTCCGGAGCTACCAGATAAGTACACATTGCACCACTGGCTAAAAACTCAAAGTAGCTCAAGTACTAATTTTAATGAATATCTCGTCTGGTCTGAAGTTATCCCTTTTATCCTCTGGCACATCTGGCTGCACAGAAATGAGACGATATTCAAAAATAATTACAAACCTCTCCTATTAAAAAACATCGTTAACAAAGCCATGGAATATAAACTCCTGGCCACAAATCAAAATCGGCCTGTCACATATACAGATTCCATTCTCATCAAATGGAACCCACCTGAACAAAACAGCTATAAACTAAATGTGGATGGTTCATGCTGTGGCAATCCGAGTAAAGGCGGAATAGGGGGAATCATACGAAATGGCAATGGGGAATGGATTTTGGGATACAACATGGGTTTTTCACATGCAACCGATATTTACATGGAAACATTAGCACTACTGCATGGTTTGAAATTAGCTATAGAAAACAAACAGATTGTAAGGAGCTCATTAACTTAATCCATAACAAGAACTGTGCCTTTAATCTGATTGATGATTGCAGATGCCTATTGAGTAGAGCAGGTGACCCGCCATTACAGCACGTCTACAGAGAGGCAAACCAGGTGGCTGATTCAATGGCGAAGAACGGAAGCAGTTTAACAACTTTTGGAAGCTTAACAACTTATCTTAGTCCTCTTACTTTTGCTATTTCTATTTTGGAAAGGGACAAGTTAGGAACTATGTGGCCTAGAACAATTTCCGCTTGTAATGCAACATGTAATGACTCTTAGTATGTGTTTTAATATATGTCTTAATTACCAAAAAAAAAAAATGTGAATGTTCCAGAATTTGATAAAGAGAACATATTTTACGTCATTATTTGCTTTTAATTTTTGAAAGAATAAGTATAAATTTAATTTGTATAGTAGAACAACTATGGACATATGAAGTACCTATGGAGTACTGCCATCTGTTGATTATGGTGTATTTGACAGAAGGAGCTTTACTTTAGGAAAATGAGTATTTCAGGTACCAACTAAAACTAAAAAGATGTTGGGGTCAAAATAACAAATTATACGGAGAGAATTATACTAAAAGAGACATTATACTTTAATATGGTTTGGTCATTGACCTACATCAATCTACTAATATAAAAGAATAAATTCTTTTCCTAAACATAACTCTTTTAAAAACTATATTGTGAATGCAATTGTGTTTTGAAGGAGGGATCCTTAATTAATTCTTAGAGTTCCGTAATATTTTCCTACAAGAAAGAGATTTGTCAACTACAAAAGAGATTTATATTTTTTTTTTTTAGGAAAAATAAACTCACTTATGATAAATATTCTTCCATTCCTTCAAGTAAAATAAAAATTCAAATACGATTAAAAAAAATAGGCAAGCCTAACAAAAGGTAGAAATCCAATTAAATAGTGGAAAAAATACTTTATCCTTTTTATTTATCTATTTATTTAAATATTCACCCAGATTTTTACCTCCTGAGATGATGCGGGGAGAGGGAGTTTGGTCATGACCCCCTACCAACCCCTACCGAATATATTAATACAAAAAGAGAAGGTTAGTGGAGGGAGACATAAACCTGACCTCCTAACTTTACAAGTCCTAAGATAGCTCTCTAGTTCACATCCTTACTAAAGGTTGTAACCAATCACAATATTTAAGATAGACACTATAATCTCGGGAACGTTTGGTATAAGGTATAGGAAGAAAATTTTGGAATAGAATTTGAGATTGTATTTATTTCATATTTGATTATAAGTATTAGCTAACCATCCTATGAGATATTCTTATTATTTTACCATTGTACCAAACGATCCGTAAATTATTTGGCTAGCAAGCATCTAATATGAGAGGACTCCCCATTCACAAAAGAACCTAGAAGGTAAATAAGGGAGACTCTCCCCTTACAATACTGTACAATATACATCTACAAGGAGTACATCAAAAGAGAAAAGAAGAAATAACCTAGTAAGGAAATAAGTTAGACAAGAGAAATTCTTCACTAAATTGTCCACCTTGACAAAAGAGATAGTTTTATTGAAGATTCTCAGCCAATAATCTCTCAAAAGAAATAAATAATGTTTACCAAGCAATTAGTTGGAGAAAAAAATTCGACATCGCTTGAATAGGCCTTTTGTAGTCACTGCGATGCTGAAATGATTATGACTTTAGTCTTATGTCTGAATCCACAGATGATCTGATTTGACCTCTAATATTAGCAAAAAAACTTTTGGATTTTTGAATACCCATTGTTTATAAACCACGAAATACTTGTACACTTTCTGTTCATTTCTTCAACTTAATTTCTTTTTAAGATTTTTCTACTCCTTTTAGTTATTCACTCCAAATTCTTCATCTTGACTTTTTGCTTCAGTTACATGGGAAGAAAGGCCAAGACAGTGAAAATTAAATTTATGCCTATTGTAAAAGATTTATGCTAGTACTATTAATGTGACGACCCGGCCGGTCGTCTTGAGAACTTATGCCCCGATCCCCCATTAACTGCTTCCCCTAAGTTCATTTCTGCTATTTTGGTTTGCCGGGACGTTCGGTGTTGAGTTTCGGAGAGTTTTGGGACACTTAGTCCCTAAATGAGAGCTTAAGTGTGGAAAAGTGATCCAGGAACTGTGTGAAGACGACCTCGGAATGGAAATCCGATGGTTCCGTCAGCTCTGTTAGGTGATTTCGGGGTTGGGAACGTGTTCGGAATGTATTTTGGAAGTCCGTAGCTCATTTAGGCTTGAAATGCCGAAGTTTGAATTCTTGAAGTTCTGGTCCGATAGTGAGTTTTTGATCCGAGGGTCGGATTGGAATTCCAGAAGTTGCAGTAGCTCCGTCATGTCATTTGGGATGTGTGTGCAAAATTTCAGGTCATTTGGACGTGTTTTGGTTAGGTTTTTGATCGAAAGCGTATTTTGATAAAAATTGAAGTTCTTAGGCTCAAATCTTTGTTTAATTCGAGTTTCCGACATTGTTTTAGGTGGTTTAAGGATTGGTACAAGTTTGCATGAGGTATTAGGTGTTACTGGTGCTTTTGGTTGAGGTCCCGGGGGCCTCGGGATGATTTCGGGTGGTTAACAGAGGGTTTTTGGAATTGAAGAGTTGTTGAAGACTGCTGGTACCTGTCATAACCGCACCTGCGGTTTGGGTTCCGCAGGTGCGGAGCCGCAGAAGCGGCCTGATCATCGCAGGAGCGGAATTGGGCTCCCTCAGCTTTTTCCGCAAGTGCGGAAGACCTACCGCAAATGCGGTTACGCACCTGCGAGGCCCCTATCGCAGATGCGGCCCTGGGCCCTTTATGTGAAACCGCAGAAGCGGTAAGTGTATCGCAGAAGCGGCAACCGCAGGTGCGGTTTAATACCGCAGAAGCGGAAGCCTGGAATTTAATGAAAAACCGCAGAAGCAGTAAATTGGTCTGCAGAAGCGAGACCGCAGATGCGGTCCTTTGTCCGCAGAAGCGAAAATACCTGTGCAGATATAGAAATTCTGAGGGTTTGATTTCATAAGTTAAAAAAATCAATTTGAGCTCGGGTAAGGGCGATTTTCAGAGGGTTTTGAAGAGGAGATTATTGGGTAACGTTTCTTTAATCCCTTCTAGTTATATTTCATCATTTTGTAGTTAAATCCATCATTAAAATTCGAATTTGGGATCAAAATTGGAAGAAATTGGGTAAAACTTCATAGGCTAAACCATTGAGTTTTGAGTGAGCATTTGACCTCCGATTTGGGAGATTTTTATATGGTTAGACTCGTGAGAGTACGAGGGTTCTGAAAATGTAAAAATTATTCGATTCCGAGACGTTGGCCTGAAGGGCATTTTGGTTATTT